TATTAATATTTCTATTTGTTTCTTCCTCTAACCATACTGTGTATCACTTCTCCCTTATTGTTCTTTTTATTTTATTAATTTTTTTTCTATTTTTTATTTTAAGAGGGCATCTGTGTTTGCTAGAGAGAGAGAGAAAAAGAGAAAGACAGAGAAAGCACCCTCCCATGGACCATGGTTACACCACAGTCACTTTTCCTCTAATCTTCCTTTTCACCAGTATTTTGGGTGTACTCACACGTGCACCTGGCATATTGTTCATGTAGCTGGGGCTGGGCTTTGAACTGTGGTCAGCCATATGGGATCTAGCTCCCTTAATTCCTGTGCTACAGGACTGGCTCCCAGATACTAATGTTCTTAATAAGTTACCTGATATGTTGCATTTCTACTAAAAAAAAAATCTATAGTACTTCTCTTAACCCATGCACAGAATTTTTTAGCCTGAGCCTAAGCTCTTTCACAGTCTGTTGATGGGCTCTTCATGGGTCTTCTTATGTGAACCATTCTATTACCCAGTATGAGTTACTGAATTTTCCTTAGACATGCATGTATTTTTGTCATGCTGTGAAACCTCAGTCTCTCCCTTTAATTTAATAACATTGATTATAGAACAATTATTCTCTGTATGTTATTTTAGTTCCTTTAAAATTTATTTTCTTCCCCTTTACTCATGACAGAGTATGTGTGTATATGAGAGTGAGAGAGAAAGAAAGGGGAACACCCCTACAGGGTCTGGTCATGCCATGATTTCCTCCCTCTAATGTTCAAACCCATTGGATCTTGTGCACTCACTCATGTGCGTTCTCAATGTGTTTCAAGATGACCAGGCTGAGGATTTAAATCACAGCTTCTATGTGTGATCCAGCTTCTCTTGAGCAGCACATTGTTTCTTTGCCATGGAGCTGGACCTGTTATTTTAGTTTCTATAATACCTGACTTGTATCCTATTCAGGCTTTTGAATATGTTAGGTCACAGACCATTATCTTATTAGTACACTCCTCAAAGCCCAACGACTTAATTATATAAAAGTAATACTGTCGTTTGATTGTAAAAATTTGGTATAAGATATGTACACTTGTTAGAGAAAAGGAGGGAAGAGGGGGAGAAAGAGAGAGAGAAAAAGAGAGACAGAGAAAGAACCTCCAAGGGGAATGGCCATGCTACAGTCCTTTCTCCTCTGTTATCCTCTCAGGATTTAGGCATGTATGTACATACAACCAGTATATTTTTTTAAGCCTTTGCATGGGACTAGAACCACACATGTTGGATCCACTGCCTTAACCATCACTCCACCAGCTGGCCCGTAAAGCTGCCTTGAGATGGCAATTTTCTAGAATTTTTCTTTTGGGATTTCCTTCACTAACTATAGTCTCTTTCCTTAACAGTATGGGCTTCTCATTGAAAGATAATATTCTGTATTTATTTGCTAAATCCAAATTCTTAATTAAAAGACCCCACTCCATCTTTAAGCTAGCTTGTGTAGCTGATTTAAATTGGGCCAGTTGTCTTAAGAATTTAATTACTTAATTAATTTGGTAGCTTAATATTGAAACCTTCAATTATTCTTTTTTTAAATTTGTTTATTTATTTAATTCCATTCATCATTATTATTATTTTAATTTGACCAGATGGAGATAGAGAGAAAGAAAAAGCAAGCAAGCAAGCTGCCAGGTTTAGGATGCAAACCGCAGTCAGCCATGTGGGAATCCAGCACCTTTAACCACTGGGTTACCTGCTGGCCCCTAGATAGTCTATTAATAGTCTTTACTTTTGCAAGTTACATAAGTAACATATATATACATATGTGTGTGTGTGTATATATATATATATATACACACGTACATGTGTGTGTGCGTGCACGCCTGTGTAGGCAAGACAAAGAAACATGGAGAGAGGAGCACTCTCCACGGGATTTGGTCATACTGTGATCCTTTTCCTCCACTCTTCTAGTCTCTCAGTCTCACTTGCACTTGTGCCCAATGCATTTGAGACAAACCAGGCCAGGGATTAAAACTCTGGTTGTGGGACCAGCAGATGGCATAATGGTTACGTTGTTGGACTCCCACGTAGTCGACCATGGTTCAAATCTCGGACCCGGTGGCTTCAAACTCACACCAGGCGCATGTGTTTGTGTGCCTATGACCCCAAGAGGAGAATGGAGTAAAAGGGATTGTAGCTGGCTATCCCCCCGGAGCATGATTTCTCGCTTACTTTCTCTGTATCTCTGGTGAGTGCATGCGCCATATATATATGTGCCTCTTCATCACCTGCTTCTCTAGCCTCATCTCTTTTTTATTTATTTATTTATTTATTTATTTTTTGAGAAAGAGATTTTTGCTATAGGGTATGTGTCCTTGTCAGAGAGACAAAGAGAAATCACCCCTGTCGGTGTCCATTGTAGGGCTTGGTCCTGCAAAGTCAAAGGTTGGGGAAAAAGAAAAGACACAGAGACAGAAATGCAGATGAACACAGACAAGCTGTGCCACTCAGTCATGCTGAGCATCTTTATTTATTCATTTTACAAAGCGTGGTGAGATTTTTACAAGTGTGTAGGAATGCGATTAAAGTCTCACAGTCAGAGATAAGCACCTTCAGAGTATACGTTTTCAGGGTCTTGTTGCTGTCACGTGTGACCTGGGTATGTATCCTGTGTCAAGCGAGCTTGCTTATTGGCAGGTGTGCTGGCTTGTTGAAACTTGAGTGAAGGCCTCTTGTAACTTCAGAGAGCATAGCTGGCAGTCCATAAACATTGTATGAACAGGCATTGCATAATCTAGCAAGGGTCAAGATGTTTCCTGTGCCTGTAAATGTTTTTACAAAGCCCCTTGCATCCAAGGCATATGTCAGCCAGTTCCCAATGAAGCGATTAATGAGGCATTCCAATAACTGCCTCCTGCTATTAGGCTGCATACCCTCACACACACCCCCAGGCAGGATGGCCATGCTGCAATCCCCTCTCTCTTCTCTTTTTGGGATTTTGGGCACACATGTACATGCACCCGGTGTGAGTTATAAGCCACCGCGTCCGGGACTTGAACTGCAGTCAACAACATGTGAGTCCAGCAATGTAATTATTATGCTATCTGCTGGTCCCTCTAGCCTCATCTCTTGCAATTCTTCTTTTTCTTCAGATATGTGTGTGTGTGTGAGTGTGTGTGTGTGTATTATATATATATATATATTCATTGTATATATATATATATATATATATTCATTGTAATATATATACTTATTTAAAATTCTTTTTTTTTTCCCAAGAGGTTTTCGCTATAGGGCGCGTGTACTCGCCAGACAGACAGAGAGAGACATAGAGACAGAAAGCGAGAAATCACCCCCCAGGGGGGATGGTCACGCCGCAATCCCTTCTCCTCCATTCTCCTCTTGGGATCTTGGGCACACACGCACATGCGCCCGGCGTGAGTTTTAAGCCACTGGGTCCAGGACGCAAACCACGGTCGACTACGTGGGAGTCCAGCAACATAGCCATTACGCTAACTGCTGGTTCCCCTTATTTAAAATTCTATACAACTTTTTTATACCAAGTATTTCAGAGTAATGATCAAACTGTAATACATAGAGTGTACATTCATTGGAAGAACAGTCACCCTGTGGTTGGCTTAGATGCCACCAAAAAGGCATATATGAGCATTAAAGTGTTTGATATGTGTAAAGTCACAGATTCAAGGCCACCACGTGAAACTGTGGTAACTTGATGTCCAGACTGTATACTGAGCTTCTTGGTAGAAGTTATATGAACATTTAGCAATGCCATGGGTGCTTTAACTTTGATGGGCATTGGCATTCAAGATGTGCAATGTAAGAAGCTCTTATGCAGATAATTTAAGATATGTGAGATTCTTTTTTTAAAAAAATTAAATCTTAGTTTGTAACGTTTTCTTGGCTTTCCCACTCATGTAGAATTTCTTTCTTGACTGGCAATGTTCATCTCACATCATTTATGATAACTTTCCTGTGCTCGTATACCTTTCTTCAGCTAGGGCTCACTCTTTTTCCTCTCTGGAATGCTCTATTCTTTTCTACCTTCAGTTTTTATGTAGCTGACTTGTCATCATTCAGATTTTTTTCCCTCCAGGTGTGTGTACATGAGTCAGAGACTAACAGAGAAAGAGGCAAAACACTTTGCAGTGGGCCTGATCATGCTGTAGCACTTTTTTCCTCCATTTTTCTATCCCATCAGGATTCTGGACTGACCAGTATTTGCTTGGTGTGTGCGCATCTTTTCTTTTCTTTTCTTTTTTTTTTTTTAAGGATTATTTACTTATTTATTTTTATTTGTTATTATTTTTTAATCTGACCTGAGAGATAGAAAGGGAAAGTGAGGAAGCAAGCCACCAGATCCAGGACTCGAACTGCAGTAGGCCACATGGGAATCCGGAGCCCCAACCACCATGCCACCCTGTGCTTGGTGTGTTTTTAAGCCCTTGGGCAGCCATGTGGCATATAAGTCTCTGCACAATGCTTACCCACAGTGCTATGGGGTCAGCCCATAGATGATTTCTTAAAAGTAGTGTCTCAGAGACTTTTACTCCCAACTCATATCTGTCATATCAGTGTGTTTTTCATCACAAGGATGTTTCTTTAACTAGAATATGATCTCTTTGATAGCCAGGGCCTTTTCTATATTGTTTACTGTGTCATGCCACGGAGTTTAGAGCTGTATTTGACATGCAGTAGGCATTCAGATTTTGTTGACCAAGTTTGTCAATGTTCTTTTTACTAGACCTGAGTTCTGGCACTATTGATAATGACAGTGGAAGTCTACTGATGGGAATTTGAATAGATGGTGTGGGGTAAATCCTAAATTTATTTACTAGGAGGGGAGGAAATGGCAAAGGTCATGAGTGATGAAAATAAGGAAACATTTTAGGAAATAACTGCTATCTGAGTGAAATTAATAATCTTTATTGAGTTTAAATTGATTTCAGGAGTAAATTAACAATAACTCAAATATTGAAATGATTCCTCTTTTCTTTTTATATAGTCATCTCAGCAAAACTTAAAGAAAATAAAAAGAATTGGTTTGGACCAAGCCCTTATGTGGAAGTAGCAGTAGATGGACAGTCAAAGAAGACAGAAAAATGCAACAACACGAACAGTCCCAAATGGAAGCAACCCCTTACAGTGTACGTCTGAAATTCTTCTCTGCAGTATATTTTGTTTAGTTAGGTGATCAGAAATGCAACTTTTAAAAGTTTCTTATTTTCTTTGCTCCTTTCCCGCCTTTTTTCCACTGTTTCCAAGACTCTTTGCTGTAATATCCTATTTGTTTCTCTTTAAATATCTCCCTCTCTGTTTTTCCTGTCTGTTTTTATTTTTTCCCATTTGTTTGATGATGGTATCACTATTACCACTAAACAACAATTGTGATAATCCTTGGTTATGGCCCTAGAAAGATTTGTAGCATCCCTTTTCTTAAGTTAGGGTTAAATTAGGGGGCTATGAGTAGCTTACTTTTTTAAAAATTAAGTTAATAATTAAAAAAAATACTATCCTTTTTTAAAAATACCAGTGTTACATAAGCTAACACAGTTTTCTTTTTCTTTCTTTTTTTTTTTTTTAAGATGTTTTTGCCTTAAGGTACGTGCACTCGCTGGAAAGAGACAGAGACAGTGAGAGGGAAAGTGAGAAATCACCACCTATGGGGATGGCCATGCCGCAATTCCTTCTTCTCACAGAATCTGGGACATTCAAGTGTATGCACCCAGCATGTTTTTAAAGCCACTAGAGCTGGGACTCGAACCACACCAGCCATGTGAGTCCAGCGGCTTAACTGCTATGCCATCTGTTGGCCTCAAAGTTTTCTTTTTTTGAGAGAGATTTTTGCTACAGGGTGTGTGTGCTTGCTAAAGAGACAGAGAGCCCGAAAGTGTGAAATCAGCCCCCCGGGGGGGATGGCCATGCTGCAGCCCCTTCTCCTCCATTCTCCTCTCGGGATTTTGGGCAGGCATGCACATGGGCCCTGCATGAGTTTCAAGCTGCCAGGTCTGGTACATGAATTGCAGTCGATGACATGGGAGTCCAGTGATGTAACCTTTACGCCAACTGCTGGTCCCAGAGTTTTCTTTTTTAAAGTGTTATGGTACATATTTCTATTCTATATGTTCACGTACTTAAGTAAATTAATGTTACAAGTTTATGTACTTAACACATTTGTTACAGTTTAGAGATCTATAATTTTTTATATAGCTACGTAATATTCTTTAATGTGGAAAAACAGTAATACATTTTTGTAGTTCCCTATTGCTTAATTAATTGGTTTTTAATGTGCTATTAGGCAGTATACATCCCTGTGTGTGTATCTTTATGTGTTGATTTTTTTTTTGTCTGTCATATGAACCCACAGAAGTAGGATATAAGTCAATTTCAACACTTACTTGGGAAAGCCCCAAATGTTGATATTGTATCCTAAAATATTGACTACTTACTGAAAGGAATTACAGATTAATTTTTTATGATTATTTATTTATTCATTAATTTATCTTAATTTGACCAGAGAGAGACATACAGAGAGAGAAAATGAGAAAGCAAGCCACCATGTCTGGGACTCAAACCATGGTGGGCCATCTGGGAGTGTACAGCACCTTAACCACTATGCTGTTGGTTCCTACAGATTAATTTTCATATTAAAAATTTAAATATCATGTACATCAGCAAATGGATTATATTTTATTTTATTTGTTTTTATTTTAAATAATTATTTTTATTCAACTTTATTTATTTATTTTAATTTGACCAGAGGTGGGCAGAGCAAGAGTGAGAGTGAGAGAGAGAGAAAGTGAGAAAGCAGGCTGCCAGATCTAGGACTTGAACAACAGTCAGCCATGTGGGAGTCCAACTTCCTTAACCACCATGCCAGCTGCTGACCCTCAGCAAATGGATTTTAAAATAATATATTTGAGGGACCAGCAGTTAGCGTAATGGCTGTGTTGCTGGACTCCCATGTCGTCAACCGCGGTTCGAGTCCTGGACCCAGTGGCATAAACTCATGCCAGGCACGTGTGTGTGTGCGTGTCCAAGATCCCAAGAGGAGAATAGAGGATAAGGGATTGCAGTGTGGCCATCTCCCTGGGGGGTGATTTCTCACTTTCTGTCTCTGTCTCTTTCTGGTGAGTGCACACACCCTATATAAAAAACCTCTCCAAAAGAAAAATTACATATTTGATTTGGGGACCAAATGTGTATTAAAATATAACTGTTAGAAAATAAAATATTTTAAAAGTTGCTTTCATCACTTGGTATTTGGAATTCTTTGTTTTTCCTTAGACAAATGAGTGACTAAAAAAATAAAGTTTTATTTCCAAATGTTGAGATGAGACATTTAAAATGATAAGCTCTTTTTGGGCTAGCAGGTAGCATGGATGTTAAGGCAGCTAGGTCCACATGCCATCTCTGCAGTTTGAGTCCCCAACCACAGCAATTTGAAAATCTTGCTGGGCATGTGTACATACATGCCCAGAATCCCAGAGGAGAATGGAGGAGAAAGGTCTGTGGTGTGGCCATTCTTCCAGGGAACACTTTGTCTTCTCTGTTCTTATGCCCTATAGTAAAACTTTAAAAAAGACAAAAAGGGACCAGCAGATGGCATAATGACTACGTTACTAGACTCCCATGTAGTCGACCATGGTTTGAGTCCTGGACCTGGTAGCTTAAATTCACACCTAGTGCATGTGTGTGCCCAAGATCCCAAAAGGAGAATGGAGGAGAGTGCATATGCCTTATGGCAAAAATCTGAAAAGAAAAGAGGTTTTTGCTATAGGGTGTCTGTGCTCAATGGGGAAATGGAGAAAGAAAGAAGTCACCCACTGGAGGGATGACTAAGCTGCCATCCTGTTTTCTTTCTTCTCCCCTTGGGATTTTGGGTATGTAAGCACACGCACCAGTGTGTTTCAAGTCTCTGGGTCCAGGACTCAAACTGCGGTGGGAGTCCAGCTCTTTAACCACCATGCCCCCTGGTAGCCCCCAGAATTATTCTCATGCTCCTTATCTGTACTTATTTCAACATTGATATTAGACTCTTTTTGGGGGGGGAGAGGTTTTAGCTATAGGGCGCATGTGCTTGCCAGAAAGACACAGAGAGAGAAAGACAGAAAGCGAGAAATCACCCCCTCTGGGGGGGGGGGGGGATGGCCACACTGCAATCCCTTCTCCTCCATTCTCCTCTCAGGATCTTGGGTACACACGCATGCGTGTGGCGTGAATTTAAGCCACCGGATCCAGGACTTGAACCACAGTCGACTATATAGGAGTCTAGCAACATAGCCATTATGCCAATTGCTGGTTCTGATGTTAGACTGTTTTTAATTAGTTATCCACTATAGAGTGAGTCTGCATTAGACAAAATTATGAGTAAAAATTTTAAAAAGACAAATCTTTAAAACATCACAGCCTCCATAATGCTAGAGATGTTCAGCAAAATAATAAATAGAGCGGGAACTAGCAGTTGGCATAATGGGTATGTTGCTGGACTCCCATGTAGTCTACCATGGTTCAAGTCCCAGACCTGGTGGCTTAAACTCAGGCTGGGCGTGTGTGCATGCATGCCCACCCAAGATCCCAAGAAGAGAATGGAGCAGAAGGGATTGCGGCATGGCCATCCCCACTGGGGAGTGTTTTTTTGCCTTCTGTATCTCTGTCTCTTTTTTTTTTCTGGCGAGTGCATGCACCCTATAGCAGAAACCTCTATTTAAAAGAAATAAAAAAGAGTTAAATAATAAATAGGCTGAATGCTCATCTAATTTCTACCACCTGCTGTCAGTGCTCATTAGATTGGCACTTTGAGGCTCTTAGCTGTTAATATCATGAACTCACTTGAGGCTTAAAGGTTAAGATAAAAGGCTGGATGAAATCTGTAATCTCAGTAACTCAGGAAGCCACATAGCAAGACCCTGTCTTTAAAAAAAAAAATTAATAAATTTAAGAAAAAAACAGACTTCTCTTTTTAGCTCCATATGGTTGTGCTCTTACTTGGTCCATATATATGAGGAACTTACAGATAAAGTCTTCTGAATTTTTCATTGCAGCAGATTAGCTTGCAATTGAAAGACGAAAACAAAAAACGAGTTCAGGGGGTACGTGGTGCATGCATGAAAGACACATAGAAAAATCAAGCCCTAATGAGACCTAGTCATGTCACACCATGATCCTTTTTCCTCCAATTTACTGTCTTGTCAAGATCCTGGGGATGCATGTACCTGGTGTATTCTTCAAGCTGCAGGGACTGAGATTCACATCCTAGTTGGTCATGTTGGCTTTGGTTTTCTTCATCCAGTGCTTAACTCCTTCACCATCTGGCTAGCCCAGGCCTGCAGTATTTTATTTATTTATTTTTTTAATTTATTTTGCCGGAGGGTGTATCTACTCACAGGAGAAAGAGAGGAAGCATGCATGAGGAATGGTCATGCCACAATGCCCTCTCCATTTCTCCTTCCATTTGGAATTTTGGGCAAGTTGTCTGGACTTGAACTACACAGTTGGTCATGTGGGATCTACAGTATATGCATTAACTAATATGCAGTGAGCTGGCTCCAGGTCTGGAATTTTAACACAGCTTCCATTGTTACTTTTAAGCAGGCTTTTCACACTTCTCTGTAGATTTGAATTAAAATAATTCAGGCATCACCATCTTTGACTATACTTTATGTATCCTCTCACATATTAAAAAAGTAAAATTAAATTTATTTGCCTTTTATTTTATTCCAGTTGTGATCTCCCAATTGACTAATAGAAATGCTTCCTTTTTTTTCTTTTTGGTTTTGTTTTTGTAGGGTGCATGCATGCACTCACCAGAGACAAACAAAGAAGAAAGAAAGAGGGAAAGTGAGAAATCAGCCACCAAAGGGGTTGGCTCTATACCACATTCCCTTCTCTTTCATTCTCCTCTCTAAATTTCAGACACATGCACACACATGCCTGGCATGTTTTTTAAGCTGCCAGATCCAGGACTTGAACCACACAGCTGGACCACCAAGGTGGCCTAAGAAATGCTTTCTTAGTATAATACATACTAAATAGTTCTTCTGAGAGTCACATCTGAGGTTTTTTGGTTTTTTTTTTGGTGGGGGGAGAGGTTTTTGCTATAGGGCACGTGTACTCGCCAGAAAGACAGAAAGCGAGAAATCTCCCCCTAGGTAGTATGGCCACACCACAATCCCTTCTCCTCTCTTCTCCTCTTGGGATCTTGGGCACGCACGCACATGCGCCCAGTGTGAATTTAAGCCACCAGGTCAGGGGCTCGAACTGCAGTCAACTACATGGGAGTAATCCCCCTGCAAAGGGGCAATATGAAATGAAAAGTTTATAGTTTAAACTACCTATTGCTTGTAAATATGATGTTGGAAATATGATGGGCTAAGAGACATAGGTAGACTCTCAGAAAGAATGTATTTCTTTTCCAGAATTTGATCCAATGTAGTTTTCATAAGATTACAGAACCTAGGCCAATATTGGTTGGACAGTAAACTATAATAGGTGTAGTGAGACTTGAGAAGTTAAAACTTAATTGTAATTTATTTAGAATCCCCTTTTTTTGTTATATTTAATGTGAAATAATATTTTTCCCTTTCTTACTTTTAGTATCGTTACCCCTGTGAGTAAATTAAATTTTCGTGTGTGGAGTCACCAGACACTGAAATCTGATGTTTTGTTGGGAGCTGCCGCATTAGATATTTATGAAACATTAAAGTCAAACAATATGAAACGTATGTATGTAAGAGTTATCAGATACTGTGCTTAGCTGTTTTTGTGGGAAGAAATTCATATGCTACATAAGCATCCAAAACAATTCATGTTTACTTATACCTTTAAATTTATTTGGTTATAGGACTAACAAGGGGGAAAGCTTTGAACCATTTAAAACATTCTGAGTGTAAATTAATTAATTAAAAATAAAAACTTAAATTAAAAAAACCTTGTTTCCTAGTCAGTATTTTTAGTAAATATTTATTTAGTAAATGGATATTATTATAGTAATACTTAGTCAATTATGGAAAAATTAAAAGATACAGAACATAAATGAAGGAAAAAACATAATGCCATTTTAGAGACTATTTTGGTTAATATCTTGACAGATTTACTTCCCCCCAAATGCTTATTTTTTAAAATCTTCTCACTTTAGATGATGTGGTTTTTACCTCCATGTATAAGTTTGTAGCTTGCTTGTTTTAAGTAATATGTCATGATTTTATAACATTTTTTCTACCACTTGATTAAAACGTCTAAGAATTTTCTTACTTATTAGAACTTTTGATGTATTTTCATCTTTTTAAAAAATTATTTTGTTCTTTTATAATGCGGGAGGGTGCTTGTGTGTGTGTAAAAGGGAAAACAAGCAAGCAAGCATACCCCAATGGGGCCTGCTCATGCCACAATCCTTTTTACTCCATTTCTGCATATTTTTAGGATCCTGGGCCAGGACTCAAACCCTGGATGGCCATGTGGGGTCCAGTTTTCTGTGCACAGTGCTTAAATGGTGCACTCCAGTGCCAGCCTAACATCCATTTTTAAATGATGTTTTCACACAATATAATTCAGATGTACATTGCTGAATAATCTTTGTTGTCTCATATAGTCTTTTTATTATGTTTTAAATTTTATTATTATTTAAGACATATTTAACTTTATTAGTACACACTTTTAATTTGCTGTAGGGCACATGCGCTCACCAGAGAGAGAGAGAAAGTAAGAAAGCAAGCTCCTAGATTTGGGATTTGACTCGTGGTTGGCCATGTGGGAGTCCAGTGCCTTAACCATCATGCCACCTTCTGGCCCCTATACTATAGTCTTACAAGAATAGAATGACTATAATACATTAAATGATTGAGATATTTAATATTTTGCATTATGAATACTAAAACGTTAACGTTAGTAAATTTTGTTCTTTTTAAAATACAGTGTTTTGATGTCAAGACTTCAATCCTTTGAAGTATATAGTAAAACGGTTTATATATATATACACACACATATATATGTATGTATGTATATTTTTTCTTACTTTAGATTTCTAATGCTTAAAATGGCTTGAAGGAAGAAAGTGACCTTTTTTTTCTATAATTTTATTCTCTTCTAGTTGAAGAAGTGGTTGTGACTTTGCAACTTGTAGGTGACAAAGAGCCAGCAGAGACAATAGGAGACTTATCAGTTTGTCTTGATGGACTGCAGTTAGAGTCTGAAGTTGTTACTAATGGTGAAACTACATGTTCAGAAAGTAAGTGATCACTTTTTGGTTAAGATGTTTAGTGATTCTTCTTACATAAAGTAGCCACTATAGTATGCTGTATGTAATTATTGCTATTCTTTTTCAGATTAAAGAAATAGTTTTCTTTTTTAAAAAATAGACATTGATCAGTTTAAACATTTTCTGTTTATTGTATGTTTCTACAAATAAAAGGCATTTATATTTTGTGTAAGTTGAAAATGAGCCAAATATATTTTGAATCATAGTTGACCCTATGAGTAATGAATTTAATTATATTTATATTTATATTTATTCTGGAGGCCAGTGATGGCAGTTCATATAACATGTTTGATGCCATACCACCTCCTCATATAATTTACTTTCTGTAGCAATATATGGTTGAGTTTAAATATGACTCCATATTCTGCTGTATCAAATAGCCAAGCTGAAATCCATTTGCCATCCCTCTTCCATTTCTGTAGGTTACACTTACAGAGCTGTCTTTTGTTGTGTATGATAATGACAAAACCAATTCAATATGTGCGTGCTGGTACATCTTAAAATTTACGATACACTAGTATGTGTTAAAGGGGAACAAACATAGCTATAATTAAAAGGTTTTGTTGATACCTCAATTAATGACTGGAGAGTTAGCATATTTTTCTTCCTAATGTATTCCCATCGGAATATTTATATTACTTTACTGTTGTATTTAAAATATGTGATAAGTAACAAATATAAATTTTGCGAATCTTCATATTTCAGAGTAGAATCTAAGCTGCATATATATATATAAAGTAAATTATATATGTGTGTGTGTATATATATATATACATATATATATGTAAAAGCATATATATGTAAGCTTACAACTAATACTTTTCCTATAAAAGACATTTCTTTTCTTTTTCTTTTCTTTTTTTGGAGAGGTTTTTGCTGTAGGATGCGTGCGCTCTCCAGAAAGACAGACAAAAAGCAAGAAATCATCTCCAGGGGGGATAGCCACGCCACAATCCCTTCTCCTCTCTTGGGATCTTGGGCATGAACGCACACATGCCCAGCATGATTTTAAGCCACCAGGTCAGAGACGTTAACCTCAGTTGCCTACATGGGAGTCCAGCAACATAGCCATTAACGCCAATTGCTGTTCCCCCTATAAAAGACATTTCTAGGTCACCAGTTTTCTGCTCAACTAGGAAAATAATTAGCAGTGAGAATTTAACCTGATTCTTTTTTTTTTTTTTTTTTTTTGAGAGGTTTTCGCTATAGGGTGCATGCACTCGCCAGACAGACAGAGAGAGACAGAAAGCGAGAAATCACCCCCCAGGGAGGATGGTCACGCCGCAATCCCTTCTCCTCCATTCTCCTCTCAGGATCTTGGGCACGCACGCATATGTGCCCGGCGTGTTTTAAGCCACCGGGTTCGGGACGCGAACCACGGTCGACTACGTGGGAGTCCAGCGACATAGCCATTACTCTAACTGCTGGTTCCCTTAACCTGATTCTTTGAAATAAAGGTTTTATTTGGGAAATCACAGTGGATTTTAGGGTTTCAGTTGCCAAATACAATAGCTGCCATTTGTTGGATGGATAGTAGGTCCCAGGAACTGTTTTTGTGTGTTTGCATACATATATTCTTGTTTAACAATCGTAGCTTTGTACCGTTACCCACGTTTTGGAGATAACAGAAGTGAGGTTCTGGGAGTTTAAATATATTTTCAGTAGCACACAGATTGATGTGGAGTCAGGATTGAAACTTATTTGTTGATGTTGTCATTTCTTTCCTTCTTTTGAGACAGATTTTTGCTATAGAGCACATGTGCTCACTGGACAGACAGAGACAGAGAGACAGAAAATGAGAAATCATTCCCTAGGGGTGATGGCCACACCACAATCCCTGCTCCTCCATTATCCTCTTGGGATCTTGGGCATGCACACACAGGCGCCCAGCATGAGTTTAAGCCACTGGGTCTGGTACTCGAACCACAGTTGACTTCATGGGAGTACAGTGACATAACCATTACGCCATCTGCTGGTCCCAATGTTGTCATTTCTTTCTTCTGTTTGCTTCATTTTTTAAAATCCTAGAAACTTGAAATTATAACCATACAAAACTTAGCTTAGGCCACAAACATGCATGGTAGGAAATGGCATTTGTTCTTTGATTCGCTTCATTTCTGTAACTTTTAACTAGCCAGAAAGGAAAATCAGAGTTCAGTACCAAAACTGAATTTCCGGCTTATAGTCATTATTTGGATATGAACTGCGTAAGAGGGTAATCCTTTGGTATTTTAATATTTTTTAGTGGTATGATTGTTAAGGTTTTTTTTCCCTTGTATTCATTTAGAAGCGCTTGTGGAAGAACACATATAGAGGGTGGTTCATTTGTGGGCATGTGCACATGCACTGGAGAGAGAGAAAGCATTTCCCAGTGGATTGTGATACTGCTGAATCTCTCCTCCTCCATATCTTCATCCCATCAGGATTTTAGGCACACACACATGTGCTCAGGGTGCTTGCTTGCTTGCTTTTCTTAAAGAATTATTTTATTTAACTTTATTTATTTTAATTTGACCAGAGAGGAGGGGCAAAGTGAAAGAGAGAAAGCCACCAAATCCCGGATTCAGACTGTGGTTGGCCATATGGTAGTCCAGTGCTCTTAACTACCATGTCACCTGCTGGCTCCCAAGGTGTTTTTTAAGCTGACAGGGCTGAGACTCAAACCACAGTTGGAAATATAGGATACAAGCTCTCTATACATAGTGCTTAACTACTGTGCTAGGGCTCGACCTAGTCTTGTAGATCATAATAGTTTCGGCATATTTTTATGTTCCTTTCTTTTTCTGAGAGAAAATGACAGAGAATGACATAGAGACAGACATCCTGTAACAGAGCTCATGTTATAATCCTTCCCAGCCAGCCAGGATCACCAGTATGTCTGTCTAGAGTGTACAGTTTGGCCTAGGAACCAAGCCCCCGCATCTTCCATGTGGCTCCCAGCATCTCTGAGTGGCTGGTCCCTCCTTTTATTTTAAATATATTGTGTATGAAAGGAATCATTGTCTGAACATTGATGTTAAAAGTCTTCAAATAATAGCTTGCTATATATTTAGATAAATTAAGAAGATTGGATTTTCCTGATGTGACAGCATTATCTCTTTTAGTATTCACACATTTTTTAGTTCTTTTGGTGGATTCATTGTCTTAAAATAGCAGTTACATAAATAAACCTTTCCCAAATGACACAAAATTTCTTCAGCATGTTTTTTCCCCTCACTTTTCTTCAAGCTTTGTTAAAAACTAGAGAGCTTTATCTTTCCTTGTTCCCTCTAAGAGAACAAATTTAATATCCTGCTAAGGCCTCAATTGTACTGTTTTCTTTGATACTCTGTTTTGTTTTTCTGCTCTAGAAGATTACTACTTTGTCCTGGTATTTTTCTCCTCTTAAATACAGAGTTAATAGGCTTTTTAAAAAAAAAAAAAAGATTTATTTATTTATTTCCTTTTTTTTTTTTTCCTTTATTTGATGAGCGAGAGACAGAGAGAGAGAAAGGGAAAGTGAGAAAGCAAGCCACCAGGTCCAGGATTCGAACCATGGTTGGCCATGTGGGAATCCAGCGCCCCTATCCACCACACCACCTGCTGGCCCCTGGAGTTAATATGCTTTTATGAGTCTTTAGGAAGCAGCCTTTAGTTAATTTTCTACTTAGATATACTCACTTTTTTAGCCCTCAGATCTCAGTTAACAAATTGGCCAGTTACTTATATCTTGAGTATCTTAGAGAAGAACTTCTCATTTACGTAGTTTTTGTTTTTTGAGGGGGTGGATTTTAGGGGGCGATCACTGTATATCAGAGTTTTTCCATTTTTTTTTAAAGAATTATAGAATTATTTATTTTATTTATTCATTTATTTTAATTTGACCAGACAGAGAGACGAAGAGACAGAGAGAGAGAAGGAGGAAGGAAAAAGGCAAGCCATCAGATCTGGGACTCGAGTCATGGTTGGCCATGTTGGAGTGTCCAGCACCTTAACCACCATGCCACCTGCTGGTCCCCAAGTTATCCATTTTTATGTCAAAGGACATTTAGGTTGTTGATATCACCATTATGAATGAGTCCTACATTGAACTTTTTTTTTTTTTTTTTGAGTTTTTCGCTATAGGGCGCGTACACTCACCAGACAGACAGAGAGAGACATAGAGACAGAAAGCAAGAAATCACCGCCCAGGGGTGATGGTCACTCCGCACTCCCTTCTCCTCCATTCTCTTCTTGGGATCTTGGGCACGCACGCACACGCACCCGGCATGAGTTTTAAGCCACCGGGTCCAGGACGCGAACCACGGTCGACTACGTGGGAGTCCAGTGACATAGCCATTACGCTAACTGCTGGTTCCCTTGAACATTATTGTATATGTCAATTGGTACGCAAATTCAAGGTTTTATGGAGGATATATATATACTTGGGGCTGACATTGTTGGTAGGATGTTATATACATTTTTAACTTTACAACATTTCTTATGCAAATGATGCCTATTTTTTGTTAGGATTTTTGAAATTGAGGTGAAATTTACATAATATCGTTAACCATTGTAAAAGGTACAATTCAGTGGTGTTTAGTGTATTCACAGATGTGTATCTATCACTTCTTTCTAGTTTCAAATTTAAAAAAAAATTTTTTTTTAATTGCCAGAGAGCATGCATGCTTGCCAGAGAGAGATGGGGTGGGAGGGGAAGCACACCCCGGTGGAATGTGGTCACACCACAGTCCCCTCTCCTTCATTTTCCCATCCTGTTGAGATTTTGGGCAGACATACACATGCACTCAGTGTATTTTCAAGCCATGGAATATCACCCCAGGAAAACACCTCATTCTCTCTGTCTCCTAACCCCTGGGAACTACTAATCCACCTTCTATTTCTATGAACTTGCCTATTCTGGATATATGATATAAAGAATCGTATGTGACTTTTTGTGTCTGGATTCTTAGTATAATGATTCCAGGTTCATCCAAGTTTTAGCACCTATCAGTACTTTGTTTTTATGGCTAACATTCCATAGTGTATATGAGCCACAATTTATTCTTTTATCCATTGTTGGACATTTGGCTTATTTCCTTGGGCTATTATGAACTATAAATAATGCTGTTTGTACAAGTTTCTGTGCGGACATACATTTCATTCTCTTGGGTGTATATCTTGGAGTGTAGTTTCGACGCTTATTTTTGATAGTTTCTCATTTCTTGTTAATTTTCTTTTGATACACAGTGAGGGCTTTTTTGTTTGTTTACATTCTTCATTTGGTAATACCAGTATTGGAAATCCTGGAGTATATAAATTATTTTATGTCTCTCCCTCATTGATGCTTGTTTGCTGTTTTTTTGCTATAGGGCGCGTGCACTCGCCAGACAGACAGAAACAGAGAGACAGAAAGCGAGAAATCACCCCCCCAGGGGGGATGGTCACACCGCAATTCCTTCTTCTCCATTCTCCTCTTGGGATCTTGGGCACGCATGCACATGCACCCGGCGTGAGTTTTAAGCCACCGGGTCGGGATGCGAACCGCAGTCGACTACGTGGGAGTCCAGCGACATAGCCATTATGCTAACTGCTGGTTCCCCTTGTTTGCTGTTTTTGTTTGCTGTTTTTTGATTGCTGTTTAATATGTGATTCTAGTCTGTCAGAATCTTAAGGGTCTAAATTGGGGGTTCTTAGCTCCAGAGAAAATTTCTTTTACTACAGACCTGGGAACACTTTAGCTCCATTCCAGAGTCCCTATCCTCATGTAGTGGTCTCTGGTTCAACACACACACACACCTTGCTGCTGGCCTGAAGGCTTTCTAATCCATCTCAGCTGATAATGACCCTCATTTTTCACAGTGTTCACTGCATCCTGTTCCTTCTCTATGTCAATTCACTGTTTTGTTCTTGATGTTGCTGTGCACCCAGGAAATAGGAACAGTGTGTAAACTGCTTTATTTAGGAGCTAGTTATTTTTTTTGGTGGGAGCTAATTGAATAGAAGAAATCCTGTCAATGTTCTAAAATTTTCAGTAGGTAAAATATGTGTCTTTAGAAATTGGATTGTTTTTTCTCAGGGAAGTTTGGATAGGAAATACTTTTAAAGAGCACTTAATTAAGTATAGCCATTGTTTTCTTCCTGGACATTCATTGTCTAAGTGTCATATTCTTGTTAACTATTCCCTAGTTGGAAAGCAAAGGATTAGATCTAAATAATTTATGCCATAAATTTTATTGTTAGTGCTTCAGTCTATATTGAAGTGAAACAAAAACAGCTCTCATTTAGACTTTGCTAATGAGGAGAGTAGGTCTTTTGAGCATGAGCTGCCCACTCTCCTTGCATTGTGCTTTGAATAAAGCTGTGCTTTCCTTCATCACACACACACACAAAATCAAATGTGATGCTTCTGGCCCCAGACAGTATAAAACCACAAGCCCCTTATGTAGACATTCCTGAGTTCTCATAAACAGCAATGAAGGCATAAAAAGATTTTTTAAAAGTCATAGCAAAACTAGACCCTGCTAATGAGATGCAAAATTTGAGAATCAATAATAATAAGTAATACTTAAATGTGAGGGCATCATTCTAAATATCTACATGTTTAATTCTGATAACTTAATTTGTGATGTATGTATCATTATTCCCATTTTTATGCACAAGAAAAAAGATTTATTACCATTTTTATCACACAAGAAAAAATATACGGTTAAGTCAGATATACCTTTCTGAGATCATATGGTTAGTACCTAATGAATGAAGCAAGGATATAAAACCAGGCAGTCTTTAAAAATAAAAAAACAGTCAGATAGTCTAACTATTATTGTAAATCAGGTTTAGGAAAGTTTTATCTCCCCAGTAAGTTCCCTTTTGCTCATTTATAGGAAATTCTCTTCCCACCTAAAGGCAGCTACTAATGCATTTTCTTTTTTTAACTGCCGGAAGGCACCTGAACTCTTGAGAGAGAAGACCCCTTGTGGGGCATGGTCATACTGCAATCCCTTTTTTCTCCATTTCTCTATCCTTTTGGGGTTTGGGGCACATATGTACATGTACCCAGGGTGGTTTTCAAACTGCCAGGGCCAGGATTCATACTGTGGTTTGCCATGTGGGATCCAGTTCCAGATGCATACTGCAGTTAACCACAGTGCTACAAAAGTGGCCCACATTTTCCCTTTTAAAGTCATTTTGGAATTTTAACTAATATTCTTAACTAGAAAGATTTAATAAAAGACTTTGCTTACATGGCATATTTAGAAAAATAAAGTTGGAAAACTATTTTTTTGAAACTAATTTTCTGCTTAAATTTTATTGATGTTAAAGGTGCTTCACAGAATGATGATGGCTCCAGACCTAAGGAAGAATCAAGGTAAGAGTTCACTAATGGTACTACAGAAGGATACAAGCGCAAATCAGTAAATGTCCAAAAGAATAAATGTCCAAAAAAGTTAGAACTCAAGATAAGAAGGAAAATATTTGTGAGATAGAAGACTCGTTTATTTGGTTACAGCTGTCTGGAGAAGGCAGGGATTACCAAATTGTTGATACTTCTTTCAACTTGTAGAAAGTGAATATATATTGACATCTTCCCCAAGCAAGAGTGTTTTGAATAGCAGGGCTGTTACTGCATAGTTAAGCTTTTTCAGGAAAGCTGGGATAGCAGCTTCGTATATGTGTAAAGGTCACTCCTGGCTGTGGTATCTTCTGGGCCTTCATTTGAGAGGGCAGAGATTTCTGCTAATGGCCTGGGCTCAGCACTTTCATTTGCCTTTCTGTCTTGAGATTTGGGCCTAAAAAGTATTGAAAGCCTTGGGCTGGGCTGTTTTAATTAACTCAACAAATCTTGTTTATTGATTATCATGGAACCTGATAATGGGAGATAAATTATTTTACTTTTTTGTCATAGTTGTATGCACTCACCAGAGTGAGACAGAGAGAGGGAAAATGAGAAATCACTCTCCAGGGGGAATAGCCATGCCATTATCCCTTCTCCTCCTGGGATTTTTGGCATGGGTGTACATATGCCTGGCATTATTTCAAGCTGCCAAGTCCTGGGATCAAACCATAGTCAGCCATGTGGGAATCCAGTTGCTTAACCTCACCACCACCTGCTGACTCTGATTATTCTATTCTTTTTATTTTTAATTCTTTTTTTTTTTTTTTTGGAGAGGGATGAAATTTGAGTGATGCTAAGCATTATAAAAGGATCCTGTTAATGTGATGATTTAGAAGATGCATGCTTAGGGACCGGCAGGTGGCACGGTGGTTAAGAGTGCTGGATTCCCACATGGCTGACCTTGGTTCGAGTCCTGGACCTAGCGGCTTGCTTTCTCACTTTCTGTCTCGCCGGTCGACCGCGTGGGAGTCCAGCAACATAGCCGTTACGCTAACTGCTGGTCCCTATTACTCTATTCTTAAAGCAGTAAGTGACATGTCTTAGCTAGACTAGAACAGAATTAAGTGGCCTTTAGATTTTTCCCCAAATTGGGTAAGCAATTGGAAGAAGAAAAGCAATGTCGGGACCAGCAGTTAGCGTAATGGCTATGTCGCTGGACTCCCATGTAGTCAACCGTGGTTCACGTCCCGGACCTGGTGGCTTAAAACTCAAGCCGGGCACGTGTGCGTGCGTGCCCAAGATCCCGAGAGGAGAATGGAGGAGAAGGGATTGCGGCGTGGCCATCCCCCCCTGGGGGGTGATTTCTCGCTTTCTATCTCTCTGTCTCTCTCTGTCTGTCTGGGGAGCACACACGCCCTATAGCAAAAACCTCTCCAAAAAAAATAAAAGGAAAAGCAATGTCATAGAATGTAAGGGGGAATTATTCAGCAAAATAGGAAGCAATAGTGCCAGATATTGCAGGGTAAATTATGTAGGTTTTTCACCAAAGTCAGATGCATAGATAAAAAAAGAAAACAAAATGTTGATGATTTTTTGACACTGGGTTGGTAGACATGAGATTTTGTTGAATTAGCCTATTTTTATGATACAGAAATTTTAATAATAAAATTAAAATATAACTTGTCACTTTAGGAAAATCAAGGCCTGTAAAGCTGTTGTGTCTTATACTAATTGAAACCTACCTTCACAGAATAACTTCTGTGACAAAGAATCATCTCCTATACGAATCTCATAAGAGGTAGAATAGCAACTTCTTGCCCAAGGAATAGTAACTATTTTTTTCTCACTGTAAATAAAAAGCAATAGGAAAGGTTTAAAAGTTATATAAATATCTCTGTAAACTGGCAGTAAACTTATATGCCCCTTTTATCTCTCTTTAGTTTTTTGTTGAATAGAAAACTTCTTGAGTTTTTCAAATTTCTCCCATAAAAATTTTTTTTTAATAATTATTTTAGCAGGACCAGCAATTGCATAATGGCTATGTCACTGGACTCCCATGTGGTTGACCGCAGTTCGAGTCCCAGACCTGGTGACTTAAACTCACTCCAGGCACATGTGCATGCTTGCCCAGGATCCTAAGAGAATGGAGGAGAAGGGATTGCTGTGTGGCCATCCCCCCCTGGGGCATGATTTCTCCCTTTCTGTTTCTTTGTCTTTTTCTGTCTTTCTGTCAAGCGCACACACCCTATAGCAAAAACCTATCCAAAAAAAAATTATTTGAGGGACTGGCAAGTGACATCGTCGTTAAGGGCACTGGACTCCCATATGGCCAACTGTGGTTCGAGTCCTGGACCTGGTGACTTGCTTTCTCACTCCCTTCCCCACCTCACTCTGTCTCTCTCTAGTGAAATCAAAATAAATAGATAAATAAATAAATAAAAATTTTAAGATACGTTATTTTTTAAGAAAGCAAGCTACCAGGTTCGAGACTCAAACCGCAGTCAACCATGTGAGTCCAATGTCTTTAACCACCATGCCACCAGCCATCTCTCCCATAAAATGTTTTATTTCAGTTCATGTTGGTTTGTTAACTAGTCTTTTATGTAGTAAACTAATATCTTTGTATTAGAACTTTACTCATTAAAAGGTTCTGTTATAGTATCATGTTGTTGCTTATTTTTTATTTTTGAATTATTTATTTTTATTTTTTCACATGAGTTTTGCCAGACAAAGAGAGAACGCATGCAAGCTAGCCTCTAGGTCCAGGACTTGAACTACAGGTCCAGGACTTGAACTGTGGTCAGCCATGTGGGAATTTCAGTATCTTAACCACTATACCACCTGCTGCCCCATTGCTTATTTTTTTTTAGCAAGTCTCATATAGTGACTTTTTTAAAATCCGCCATTGCTTATTTGGTTTTAGCAAGTCTCTTATAGTGACTTTTTAAAAATCCGTTGCAGTCTGGGCATGTATAAATTCCTTGCATAGGTATTGGTTGAGACCTGGCTTCATGCTCTTTATTTTTAGTGCTTAATATCTTCTCAAGTGAATCGCTGTCATTAATAATTTGGGGAATAGGGTCTTCTAGGTTTTTGGACTTTTGGGTGTGTCTTGAATTCTCGTGCAATAACTTATTTAGAGTACATACATCTAAGATCATGACTTTGAAAACTTTTTGGTTAATTGTCAAATGCTATTTAAATGTTATCACACAATAATAATGTTTAGTAGTTGGATTTGTGTTTCCTTTTTCCCTTCTTTTTAGAGAGGTTTCTCCCCCCCCTCCCCCCGTAGGGTGCTTGCGCTTGCCAGAGAGATAGAGAGAGATGGAAAGTGAGAAATCAGTCACCCCCTCCAGGGGGGTTGATGACACCACAATCCCTTCTCTTCTATTCTCCTCTCAGGATCTTGGGTACACATGAATATGCGCCTGGCATGAGTTTAAGCCCCCAGGTCCAGGACTCGAACTGCGGTTGACTACATGGGAGTCCAATGACGTAGTCAGTACACCAACTGCTGATCTCATCTTCCCCTTAATTATTGATGACAGATTTCATAACTGTAAGACTAAAAGGCAGGGCAGCATATGTCTAATAAACAAGGGCTCTCTTCTCCCCCCATGGTTATTATTTAGGAAGTTTACTAAATAGCCTTTGGTTACTTTATCCTTTCATCCTTATTTATTTATTTATTTATTCATTTATTTATTTTTTTTTTTTAGAGAGATTTTTGCTATAGGCTACATGCACTGGACAGAGAGAAAGAAAATAAGAAATCACCCTCTGGGGTAATGGCCACACCACAATCCCTTCATTCTTTCAGGATTTTGGGCACGCATGCGTTTAAGCTGCCAGGTCTGGGACTCAAACCGTGGTATACTACGTGGGAGTCCAGCAATGTAACCAGTATGCCATCTGGACTCCCACACTGGTCCCTTAAGCCTTATTTTAAATGTAGTCTTACTGACTTGCTTTCTCACACAATCTGTCTGGATGTTTTATATTTCTCAGTGTTCTGTCATTTTTATGAAGTACCAAGACGATTGGTGCCTGATATTTAAGATTTTGTGCCACTCCCCCTCTTCCCCCCGGGTATGTGCACTTGCCATAGAGAGACAGAGAAAAAGAGAAAAGGAAGGTAAGAGAGCATTCCCCCAGTGAGGGTGGTTATGCTTCAATCCCTCCTTTGCTTCTTTTGGGATTTTTGGCATGCATGTACACATGCCTGGTGTTTTTCAAGCCACCAGGTGGACTCTGTGCTATTGGTCAGGTCGGATCCAGCTGTTTTAATCTTAATGCTACCAGCTGGTCCACAGTTTATTTTTGTGCCTTCTTTATATATTCTTTGCTTTTAATATTTCTTTTGACTTTATTTTATTAGTATCCTGGTTCTTCAGGGCTTTCTATTCTGCCCATGACCTATGTATAGGTCAGATTTTTTCATATGGTGAAATAAGTAAGAGTTTTGTACAGTTGTGGAGGTAAGGAATGAAGCCATACTAGCATATAATTAGCAACTAATTACTTTTTCAAAAGTGATAGTGGGACCAGCAGTTAGCGTAATGGCTATGTCATTGGACTCCCATGTAGTAGGCCACGGTTCACGTCCCGGACCCAGTGGCTTAAAACTCACGCAAGACGCGTAAGCGTGCATGCCCAAGATCCCAAGAGTAAAAGGGATTGCGGCATGGCCATCCCCCCGGGGGGTGATTTCTCGCTTTCTGTCTCTCTGTCTCTGTCTGTCTATCTGGTGAGCACACGTACCCTATAGCAAAAACCTCTCAAAAAAAAAAAAAGTGATAGTATTGGTGACTTCACTATAGTATGTAAGTTTCCAAATTACTTTTCTTATTTTTTTTTTTTAAGTTTTTGCCATAGAGAATATGCACTTGTTGGAGAGACAGAGAGAGGGAAAGTAAGACTGCACCACCCAGGGGGCTGGTCATGGCACAATCCCTTCTCCTCCATTCTTCTCCTGGGATTTTGGGGATGTTCACATATATGCCTGGCATGATTTTCAAGCTAGGTCCTGG